GTTGGAGGTTCTGGCTAGCCTTTCATGTTTTTTGGTTTTTATGTTAGTCCAGTTATCAAAGTCTTTGCAATATTGACATCTGTCCCAGGTGTCTATCACTAACTGGCTAGTCAGACCTGGATTTTGGGTCTAAACCTTAATTCAGTACCCAGAGTCAGTGGTATGCTGTTCATTGTCAGATCTTTTAGTGATGTTATGATTGATCAGTGAGTCTAGGTGGTATCAGTCCCATCTATTCATTATAAAGTTCTTTATCAATCACTTTTTCATCTAAGAGTTTTAGCAGCCATTGATATTCATTGCCTTGATTATTTCATTAGATGCAGCAAGATGGTGAATTTTTAATTTAATTTAACTATTTGGTTTCCTTGAAATACAGTTAATAGGTGGGTGCGGTGGCTCATGCCTGTAATCCCAGGACTTTGGGAGGCCGAGGCAGGCAGATCTCCTGAGGTTGGTGGTTCGAGACCAGCCTGACCAACATGGAGAAACCCCATCTCTATTAAAAATACAAAATTAGCCAGATGTGTGGCACATGCCTGTAATCCAGCTACTCGGGAAGCTGAGGCAGGAGAATCGTTTGTATCTGGGAGGCAGAGGTTGTGGTAAGCTGAGATCGCACCATTGCAATCCAGCCTGGGCAGCAAGAGTGAAACTCTGTCTCAGAAAAAAAGAAAGAAAGAAAAGAAAGAAAGAAAGAGAAATATAGTTACTATAGGAAAGGTAGAATAAATGCTTATTTTCCTTTTTTTTTTTTTTTTTTTTTAAGACCAAGTTTTGCTCTTGCTCTCCAGGCTGGAGTGCAGTGGCGCAATCTCAGCTCACTGCAACCTCTGCCTCCCAGGATCAAGTGATTCTCCTGCCTCAGCCTTCCAAGTAGCTGGGATTACAGGCATGAGCCACTTCGCTCGGCTAATTTTGTATTTTCAGTAGAGATGTGGTTTGTCCATGTTGGTCAGGCTGGTCTCCAACTCCTGACCTCAGGTGATCTGCCTGCCTTAGCCTCCCAAAGTGTTGGGATTACAGACGTGAGCCACTGCGCCTGTCCTTATTTTCCTTTTACTTACATCCAGAGTAAAGAACTGGTACCCTCGCAATCTTTTATAATGTCTAATGAGGCTTCTTTAAGTAATTTATGGATTTTTATATATTTGATATGTTTCAATTCATTTCAGTCTTTATTTATTTGTTTTTGAGATAAAGTCTCACTGTGTCACCCAGGCTGGAGTACAGTGGAACGATCTCAGCTCACTGCTGCAAACTCGGCCTCCTGGGTTAAGCAATTCCCCTGCTTCAGCCTCCCAAGTAGCTGGGACTACAAGCACGTGTCACCACACCTGACTAATTTTTGTATTTTTTGTAGAGACGGAATTTTGCCATGTTGGCCAGACTGCTCTCGAACTCCTGTTCTCAGGTGATCCACCTACCTTGACCCTCCCAAAGCACTGGAATTACAGGCGTGAGCCACACATGTGGTGATCGATCATTCTTTTTAGTGCTCAGATTTTCCCACCTTAAGCCCGTGTTAGCCCCTTCCAGTTGGCTTCTGTGTTCTTTTGACTTAGAGAGGTGGATTCACCTACTGTGAAGATAATGAAGCTTAAACTTAAGGTTCTCTATTTGCATGGGCAGTTGGTCATATGATTTTGTAAAATTTCCAAGAGTAAGATTTTTAAGAGGGTAAACAGGTGGTAACTTAATAAAAGCTTCAGGTCCCACAAAACCTGTATCTGCCCCCAGTCTTTGGTATAGTCCTGCTTTTGAGCAACTGCAAGATTCTAGGCTCATTGTTTACAGTACCTCTCTCAGTCTTAGCAATTTCTCCAAATGGTTCTTTTTCAGAGGTAAATGGCATTTTGAATCCTCAACCTTGAAACTAGGGGTGCTTAATGCTGCTGGTTTGCACTGCTTCTAGGACTTTTCAGTGGTCAGAGTTATGAAATATGTATTTAAATAAATATGATGTTTTCTTAATTGTAAGATTTCATGATTTTTACTTGACTTCTTTCATATTTATATATCTTTATGTTGACATTTTGATTACTAATGACTTAATATATTACTTATTTGCTGTGTCCTGCAGTATACCTATAATAGTTTTGAAATATCAGTATTGATATTACTTCCAACAGTAAGCCTACTGAATGCAGTTTTAAGATTTCTTTGTGGTTCTTTTGTTCCTTAAGATCTAACTAATGATGGACAATCAAAATACTATATTTTAAAGTCACTTGAAGTAATTATTTTCTATTTCTTTCCTTTTTTTTTTTTGAGACAAGGTCTCACTCTGTCACCCAGGCTGGAGTGCAGTGCCGCTATCTCAACTCACGGCAATTTCTGCCTCCCAGGTTCAAGCTATTCTCATGCCTCAGCCTCTTCAGTAGCTGTGATTACAGGCTTGCACCACCACGCCTGGCTAATTTTTATATTTTTGGTAGAGACAGGGTTTCACCATGGTGGCCAAGCTGGTCTTGAACTCCTTACCTCAGGTGATCCGCTCACCTTGGCCTCCCAAAGTGTTGGGATTATGGGTGTGAGCCACTGCACTTGGCCTAATTTTTATATTTTTAGTAGAAACAGGGTCTTGCCATTTTGCCTAGGCTGGTCTCGAACTTCTGACCTCAAGAGATCCTCCTGTCTCTGCCTCCCAAATTTCTGGGATTATAGGTGTAAGCCACCATGCCCAGCTGAAGTAATTATTTTCTTTGTGACTATGGCACAAACTCAATGTTCAGTACGTTATTTTTTTAAGTTTTTTTTTTATTTTAAAAGGTTTTTGGGGAACAGATTGCAGTGGGTTATTGGTTTCCGTTTGCTCTGAATTTTTAGAGATTGTCTTTTCTTCATTTTTAGTGTTTTTTGAAAACTTTAATTTTGTCTTTTGTCTTGAACACTTTAATTTTGTCTTTTGTCATTCATTTTCTGAAGAAAATGCTCAATTTATTGTATAACATATACAGGACAGCTGTAATTGTGGGATGTAATTTCTCTAAATAAAAACAAAGTACTGGACCAGGTACAGTGGTTCATGCTTATCATCCCATTACTTTGGGATGCTGAGGTGGGAGGATCAGTCGAGGCCAGGAGTCTGAGACCAGCCTGGGCAACATAGTGAGACCCTGTCTGTTGAAAACAGAGTTATCCAGGTGTGGTAGTGCATGCCAGTAGTACCAGCTCCTTGGGAGGCTGAGATGGGAAGATTGCTTGAGCCCAGGAGTTCAAGGATATAGTGAGCTGTGATTGCACCACCTCACTCCAACCTGGGTGACAGAATGAGACTTTGTTTTGAAAGAAAAAGGAAAATAAACTGGTGGTTTTAAGTAGGATTTGAGGAATTATGGAGTTCAGGGATTGGTGAAGTAGAAGTATTTAGGAATTGACTGACCTTTTATTATGTAAATGTGGTTATGAATTGTGGCTGTTACTGACTTGTTGACTTTCTGAAGTGATATCACTCATTCGAAGCTACCTTTGATGGTTTTAACACCACTTCTGATGATTACTTGTTGTTACAGTCCCTTCTGGAATTTGGAGTTTAGAACATTTTTTTATCATATGTAAAACATTTATGTGGTTCCAGAATCAAAACCATATCACAAGATGCATTCACAGAAGTCTGGCTTTCTTCCTTATCCCTTCCATCCTTTTTTTCTTTGAGACAGGATCTTGTTCTGTCACCCAGGCTGGAGTGCAGTGGCACCTTCACAGCTCACTGCAACCTCAACCTTCCATGCTCAAGTGATCCTCCCTGCTCAGACTCTGTAGTAGCTGGGACTACAAGTATGTGCAGCCACATCTGGCTAATTTTTAAATTTGTTGTAGAGACAAGATCTCCCTATGTTGATGAGGCTGTTCTCAAACTCCTGTGCTCAAGCAATCCTCTCACCTCAGCCTCCTAAGATGCTAGGATTATAGGTGTGAGCTACCATGCCTGGCCTTTTTTTGCTTTCTGTTGAGTAAAGGTTGGTAAACAGTCTGGAGGCCAAATTTGGCCCACTTTTTTTTTTTTTTTTTTTTTTTGGGTAATAAGATTTTGTTGGAGCACAGCCATACTCATTCATTTATATAATTATGTATGGCTTTTGTGCTGCAGTGGCAGAATAGAGTAGCTATGACAGAGTATACAGTATGTGGACTAGAAACTATTTACTCTCCAGACCTGTATTGAAAAAGTTTTCTGAATCCTGCTATGAAGAATCATTTTTATTCAGTTTTAGCTTATCTATACTTTTTTTCCTTTTTAAAAACAAAAGCAGACACTTAAATATACTCAACATTTATCTCCTTTCTATACAAAGTATAGTATACTGTAAACCCTGTCTCGCTTGTTTTCACTAAACAATATATCTTGAAAATCACTCTGTATCAATATCTTTCTCATTCCTGGACAGGTTACAGTTTTCATCTCCTTTAGGCCATATTTTTCTGCTATACTTTCATTTTCTACAGGTATGCTGTTCATCTTATTAGTATCCTCTTTTTCTTACAATGCCATTGAATCAGGTTTGGTCAGCATCCCTTTGTTAATATTTATTTCCTATGGATTTTAAGTGCATTTTGTAATATTAAAATATTATTAGCTCTAATGATTTAAGCTCTAAGTTACAAACTATAAGCTGTTGTAAATTAGGTACTATGTCCTTTTCTTCAGCAGTATATTGTACTCAGGATATTGGTCTGTCTAGTTCAAGTGCCATTGCCATCATGCTTGCCCTATAGTCTAACAATCTCAGTTATTATAAATAATATCTGTGTTTTAACAATGTCTTTATAATGCCTAGCTAGTTCGCTTGGCATGTGTAATGGAAAGATACATGGTTTTAAAAATATGCATTAAACATTTAAAAATATGCATTAAAATGTTCAAAAACATTTTTTCCCCTTCTTCCCAACAAAGTAGCCTAATTAGTGTATAATATTTGTAGTGCTTCCTCATGTTGGAATGTTATTTGTGTTGATTAGTTAACCCTAATATACTGCTACTATTTTTTTTGTTTTAGGTTAAATGGAAACCACTTCGGGGAACTGGATGTCTGTGTAGCTATTCTACCATATCAGTGTATTGCAATGAGCGGGGGAGGAGAGCAGCCGGATATCCTGAGTGTTGGAATCCTAGTGAAAGAAAGATGGAAAGTGGTGAGTATGTATCTCAGAGTGTGTGTGTGTGTGTGTGTGCGCGCGCGCGCACGTGTACATACTGGGGAAGTAATTTTTGGTTTCCTGATATAGCATTTTATTAGAAAATATTATATATATATTACTTATATGCCTAAAGCAGTTATTTACAGTTATTTTTCTATGATTAAATTGATTATACCCTAAGTCTTACTTTTGCTTCATATGGTACTAAATGTTTTTAACTTCCAATAGCTAATATTAAGATACATAAAAGCATACTGAGGAAAAGGACAGATTAAAAAAATACAGTGTTTGAAAGTACAGTGAACTGCTGTGTTTTTTTTTTAATTAAGGAAAATTGTAAGTATACATAAAGAATAGAGACTTATATAATGAACCTCTGTGTACTTATGACCCAACTTAAAATAGTCATCAGTGTATGGTTAATCTTGTTTCATTTCTCTCCCAGAATGTTTTGAATTGATCTTTAACCTTAGCATTTCTTCTGTGTATACCTCAGTATGTATCTCTAAAAAATAAGGACTTACTTTTAAAAGCATAATCATAATACCGTTATCATACCTTAAAAGTAATAATTTTTTCCCTGCTGACTCCTCCCCAAGGTTGTATTTCATTTTGTCTGTGTTAGCATGTAGTATCTTTAGCTACTTTCTACTGTTGTAAAATACTGGAGTAGTACTTAAAAAAAAAGTAATCATTTCTTAATATCACCAAATATAGTTTTAGTTTTCATATTCTGATTGTAAAGTATTTTGAACACCCTCAATCAAGATCCAAATAAAATCTGGATATTGTAATTAGTTGCTGACACTTAAGTTTCTTTTCATTTCTAGGTTCTTTCCTCTTTATTGCTTTTTTTTTCCTTACAATTTATTTGCTGAAGAAATTAGTCAATTTGTAGAATTTCCCATGGTTTGGATTTTGCTATTTACTTCCATTTGGTGTTAACACGTTTCTCTGTCTTGTGTATTTCATGTAAATTGGTAATTATATCTAGAGACTTGATTATATCTGATTTTAGGTTTGTTTTTGAGATGGAGACATCTTTTTTTCACAAATGATATTGTGAGCCTTCACTAGGAGGCATATAATACCTTATTGTCCATCTGTCTGTCTATTTTGTGGTGTTAACATTATTGATGATCATTGCCTGGGTTTATTAATTAGGGATTGGAAATTGGTGATGTTCTGTAATTCATGAATAAAGTTGAAATGTATCGATAAGGACAAGTTTTTTTTTTTATCATCACTTCTTTGCTTATCTTGAGGTACAATTTGATTAGGAAAACAAGATAGGTACTTCTTTTCTTAATTTACCAGTTTTCAAAACAATGAATTGGTTTCCTGCTATTCTCCAAAAGTGATCAATTAGATTTGTTTTACAGTATAATTAAGAATTCATGGATTTAAACAAGCATGATGTGTTTCAGTCTATGGTAGTTATCCTTATAAATGTTTAAATTGCCTTATTTGACTAAGGAGATACACTTCATGTTGTCTTCTGAGTTCTTTTCACAGGATCCTAATACTCTTTCAATGGCTTTCTTTCCCTAGACCTAGAATCTGTCATCTCTCTAATACTACTTGTTTCTTAAAGGAACTATTTTTGTTTTAGATGTATTTAAATATTTTTTGATTGCCATGCAGTTCACATTTTTTTTTCCATTAGTAGGTTTCACAAAGCTATTTTAGGGGTTCCCTTAGTCTGTGAACAGATTGGAAAAAGAAAACCCTTTAGAAATAGAATTTTTATTTTTTATTTGTACAGTACAATGTGTTTTACTAATTAGGTAAGTCAGTAGGCTTTGAAAATGTAAGAAAACTATGTCATCATCACGGACTGGTGCAGGGAGAATCCAGCAGCTGCTAATCTTTTATGTAAGTCAGACATGAGTGTTGCTTTGGTGCGAGCACTAGCACTTTGTTAGAGTGTTTTGTTCTCCAGTGGACATATCAAAAGGTGACAAGTGAAATTCTTAATTGGCATGGTTCCCTTGTCCTGGTAATCAGAACTAATATTTCTGTGGAACTTATCTCCAAAATTTGGGAGGGCATAGTAGCATTTTTAGTTAAAAAAAATTATAAGCGGGCCGGGCGCGGTGGCTCACACCTGTAATCCCAGCACTTTGGGAGGCCGAGGCGGGTGGATCACGAGGTCAAGAGATCGAGACCATCCTGGTCAACATGGTGAAACCCCGTCTCTACTAAAAATACAAAAAATTAGCTGGGCATGGTGGTGTGTGCCTGTAATCCCAGCTGCTCGGGAGGCTGAGGCAAGAGAATTGCCTGAATCCAGGAGCCGGAGGTTGCAGTGAGCCGAGATCGCGCCATTGCACTCCAGCCTGGGTAACAAGAGCGAAACTCCGTCTCAAAAAAAAAAAAAAAAAATTATAAGCTCATTGTTACGGATAGTGTTTTAGTTATTTATTGTTATGTAACAAACTACATCAAAATTTGGAGGTTTAAAAGAATCCTTTTATTTTGCTCACAATTTTGTGCATTAGAAATTTGGGAAGAGTTTGCCTGGATGATTTCTCTCATAGCCATGTGGCACTAACAGGATTGTTTCGGTTAGAGGATCCATTTATAAATGGGTTCTTCACTCACTTGTCTGGTACCTTGGGGTTCCTTAGCTGTTCACCTCCAACCCCCAACCCCTGACCTGGTAGCTCGTTTTCTCCGGTATCTCCACGTGGCTCTGGCTTCTCAGGATGGTTCCATTCTTTCCTTCTTTCTTTTTTTGAGACGGTGTCTCGCTCTGCCACCCAGGCTGGAATGCAGTGGCACGATCTCAGCTCAATGCAGCCTCCGCCTCCCAGGTTCAAGTGACTTTCCTGCCTCAGCCTTCCAAGTAGCTGGGATTACAGGCATGCACCATCATACTGGCTAATTTTTGTATTTATAGTAGAAGATGGGGTTTCGCCATGTTGGCCAGGCTGGTCTCAAACTCCAGACCTCAGGTGATCCACCCACCTCAGTCTCCCAAAGTGCTAGGATTTCAGCTTGTAAGCCATTGTGCCCTGCCGGATGGTCTCATTTCTTACATGGTGGCTAGCTTTTAAGAGACAGGAAATGGAATCTACCAGGCTGGGTAAAGGCTATTCTCAGAGCTGGCACAGTATCATTTTGCCCTATTCTGTTAATTCAAACAATAAAGGGGAAAATGGACTCTACCTCTTGATGGGGGAGTAGCAAGGTCACATTGTCTTCATCAGTGGGAAAGGTTTTCTTCACATTGAAGAAGAGCAAGGATGGATGATATTGTTGTGCCTATCTTCGGAAAAGACAATCTGCCATAGGCCTTATTTCTAGTCTTCCTCAAATCTATGTACCCCCCTCATACTAAACTGCCTCTGTCTCTTTGCCTCATAAACCTTGATAATTTCTTAGGGCTTTGTCAGGCCATTAAAAAAATGCTCTATTAATGTTTAAATGGCATTATAGGAAAAGAAATAGACTAAGGAGCAAAAACATTTACTTCAGCCTAGATTATTTTGTCATTTGGTAAGGTTTTTTGTGAGGTAAAACATGAAGCTACCTCTACCAATTCATAGTTAGAAATGAATCTCTTTGGTACTGTATATGAGTTTTTAAAGCTACATTAGCCTTCGTGTAATGGACAAAATATGAAAAATCATAAGTATCAATCAGGGCCCATGAAGGAACAACTTAATTAACTGAATGCTTCCAGAACTTTTGTTGTTGTTAATCAATGAGAGCTTGTTATATTGCTCAGGTTGGCCTTGAACTCATAGCCTCGCCTCCTCAAGTGCCAGGACAACTGGCCGGAGCCACCGCAGCTCCCTGGAACTTTTGTTTTTTGAGGCAGAGTCTCGCTCTGTTGCCCAGGCTGGAGAGCAATGGCACAATCTCAGTTCACTGCAACCTCCACGTTGCGGGTTCAAGTTATTCTCCTGCCTCAGCCTCCTGAGTAGCTGGGATTACAGGTGCGCGCCACCACTCCTGGCTAATATTTCTGCTTTTAGTAGAGACGGGATTTCACCATGTTGTTCAGGCTGGGCTCAAACTACTGACCCTGTGATCCGCCTGCCTTGGCCTCCCAAAGGGCTGGGATTACAGGCATGAGCCACTGTGCCCAGCCCGCTTCTGGATCTTTTTAAAAATCTTGAACTCACCCTGTACTTTCATAGTAGTATTCCTTTCCCATCACCAGATGAATAAAGAAAGATAGGCCGGGTGTGATGGCTCATGCCTGGAATCCCAGTGCTTTGGAAGGTCGAGGTGGGTGAATCACCTGAGATCAGAAGTTTGAGACTAGCCTGGCTAGTCTACTAAAAATACAAAAATTAGCTGGGTGTGGTGGTGCACACCTGTAATCCCAGCTACTGGGAAGGCTGAGGCAGGAGAATCACTTGAACCCTGGAGGTGCAGGCTGCAGTGAGCCAAGATTGTGCCATTGCACTCCAGTCCTGTCAACAGTGTGAGACTACCAATTCAAAAAATTAAAAAAGAAAAAGAAAGAATATAAAGAAGGATTATGGCTCACATGTGCAAAAATAAATATAGGATTATATTTATATAGTTAGCACTTTGCCAAATGCTATGGGGGACACAAAGAAATAGAACAAGTGGCCATCTCTTTGAAGAAACTCAGTTTCTCTGTAGCAGGATAGGATATTGACAATGGAAAGTTAAGCAACATGACACATTTAAAACAAGGTATTTCATGGACAGGTCTTTAATTTAAAAAATACAAGGTAATAATACAAGTGATATCTGAGGTATGGCCTGGTAAAATGATTAATTGAATAATTAAACAAATAATTACTGTAGAAGTTCAGAAGATAAAGAAATTAACCTAGATGTAGTATTCAGTGACGATCAAGTGGAGAAAGAGGTAGAACATGGAGCTGGGGCTTTTTGAGCTGGTTACGATTTAGGACCCTGTGCCTTTGATGACTTCCCACATTAAATCACATCCTGGTGTTTGATATTGTGAGGAGGAGACAACCTAGTTTCAGGAAATGGAAAACAATTGTGTCTCTAGGTTGAAGTGTCTACCCCCACAACCCAGCTTTCAGAGCCCTACAGGTGCAGTTGCCACTGACTCTTCAGAACTTGCTTATGATACTCAGATCAGCATCCTAATATTCCCCAGTTAAGCTAACATATTTTGTCAGAGAGAATAGTGCTTACTGAACTTGCTTAAATTGATTTCTTTAATCCATATTTGAATAAATAGATGACTAGTGAACTCTGGGATAGTTTAGTACTAGAGTTTTCAACCTGCTCTGTGGACACTGTTAGGTACCTCAGAGAGAAGGGTAAGTGGTGGTAAGAAACCTGGGTGGTGGCTTCCTCCCCCCTCCACCCCGCATATACATCTACCAGATTGGTTTTAGATAAGACTTCAATTGGCAAAAGGATTTTGTAGTGTTTTTGTTGTTGCTTGTTTGTTTTGAGAGGGTCTCTGTCACCCAGGGTAGAATGCAGTGGCTGGATCTCAGCTCACTACAGCCTCTGCCTCCTGGGTTCAAGCGATTCTCCTGCCTCAGCCTCCTGAGTAGCTGCAATTACAGGCATGTGCCACCACGCCTGGCTAATTTTTGTATTTTTTAGTAGAGATAGGGTTTCACTGTGTTGGCCAGGCTGGACTCGAACTCCTGACCTCAAGCGAGCCGCCTGCCTCGGCCTCCCAAAGTGCTGGGATTATAGGCGTGAGCCCCTGCACTCAGCCAGGATTTCATAGTTTAAAAAGTGTTCTTTAAAATTAAAATAACAAATCTGATTGTTGAATGGCATTTGTAGGAATGCCACTCAACAACCAGATTTGTTATTTTAATTTAAAGTGATTCTTTCAAATATTGTATTTTTGGTGACATTTCTGATGATGGCTATCAACCAAATTTTAAAATTGTGGATGAAATAATTTCATTACTTTTCTTGTGGATAAACCTGTACGGAAAGGTTTTGATGTTATTTTCAGGCATATGTTTTCTTCTTGGCATATACATAGTTAATTTAACAATATTGAAATATTTTATCATAAAACATTGTAAAATTATACAGTATTTTCTAAATATGAGATGAATTGCATTCAAGTTAGAATCTTCTAGTAATTTTTAGTGTGTTTGTTCTTATTTTCTGTGCAGTTGAGAAAGATTGGGGGTGGGGGCTTTGGAGAAATTTACGATGCCTTGGACATGCTCACCAGGGAAAATGTTGCACTGAAGGTGGAATCAGCTCAACAACCAAAACAAGTTCTGAAAATGGAAGTTGCTGTTTTGAAAAAGCTGCAAGGTAAGCTCTTTGTAGAATATACAATTTATGATTTGTATGATAATTCGTAATTTATTTGTATCTTTCTGAACCTTAATTACATTCTTTAAGTACTAATTAAGTGTACTGGTGTCAGCCAGGTTTAAATATGCTGAGCATTTTTCTCTTGTAAATTTTATAACTAGTTAGTAGGAGTAGAAATGTGTGATTACTTAGAATAATTGGGCCTTGGGAGTTCCTTTTCATGGAGTGAGGATGAGAGTGAATTAGTAGAATTTTTACTGCTTTAGAAAGTATTGCCATAAGGCTGCTATTTGCCTTTATATTTTAAACAACCAATCACAAATACCTCTGAGTTGTCTCTATTCAGGTCTCTCGACGTTAAAAACGCTTTAATCACAGTAAAGAAAGCTGCTTTCAAACCACATTGCAGGATGGTTTAAAAATAATACTGTTGATTATGTGTTGATTCATATTAACTTCCGTTTTAGAGAATAACTCCAGCCCTGTCATCATTTTTGAAGTCCATTTTACTGCTCAGGCCCCATTTTTTTTTTTATTACAAGAATGAATAATTTTTTTCTGACGTGAATCCAAGTAGTATAAAACCCTGAATATATTGTTAGTTTGTGTTCATTTTTTGTATTCTCAGCTTAATGACATACTCTCTGATATTACTGATATTTAAATGTTTGATCTGAAGCACAATTAAATATGGTTGATCATTTTCCTTTGCCCTAAGCATTCCAGTTATCCAAGTTTCTCTACCAGTTGGCTCATTTGATTAGAGAATGATGCTAGTAAAATTATAGATCTGTTTTATGGTCATTTTTAGCTAAGACTAAGTCAGGAAAACAGTGGATGGATTAGCAATCATTGTCAATACTAGAAAAATAAATAATTGGAGAGGAAAGAATAGGTAAAAGGACAACTCTCTTTTTCTTACCTTTTCTATTTTCTCCCCATTTCTCTTGAGTTGTTGTTTTCAACTTAGTGGTGTAGAGGCTACAAACAGGTACAGCCAGAGCTACATCTTCCTGGGTTGCACAGATCCCAGGATACCTGTTTTACTCTAAGCCAAGCCCATGAAGGGTATGTCAGCATCAGCTTGGTGTGGATAGTGCCACTTCACTTTTCTCCTACTTGGCCCCAAGGAGATGCTTCCAGGTGTGGCAGGATACAGCTTTGCCACCCCTTCAGGAGGTTCTCCTGCTTATTTTGACCGTGGTTTACTCAACCTTCTATGTGATAAAGCTTGAAGATCAGTTTGGTACCTTTTATGAATGAATTAGAGACCTATGAATGAATTAGATGCTAGCTTTCTCCTTTTCTTGTATTTTATTTTTCATGTTATTAACTAAAATATTTTTCCTATTTGCTTATAATTATATGACATCTCATTCTTAAGAACCCTTTACTTTTCGAAAATAAATTGATTTTTAATCTTCTGGTCTCTATTTCAGTGAGTCAGTCCTTGACTCCCTTCTCTTGGCTTCTTATGCATTCTGCTTACTTATTCCTCATGGCTTCATTTTGTTGAGGGTACTTTGTAATCTGTACCATTCTGATAACATTTTTATGGGGCTGAGCTGCTCTTGCCGTCATGTTGGCATAGTGACTTTTTACTGAATGATCCCAGTGAAAACGCTGTGCATGTAAGGAAAAGGTATTTAACCAGAGGCTAACCCTTTATAGGATTAGTTGATTTTTTTTTTTTTTTTTGAGACAGAGTCTCACTCTGTCGTCAGGTGCCAGGCTGGAGTGCACTGTTGTGATTTTGGCTCACTGCAACCTCTGCCTCCTGGGTTCAAGCAATTCTCCTGCCTCAGCCTCCCGAGTAGCTGGGACTACAGGCGTGCACCACCACACCCAGCTAATTTTTGTGTTTTAGTGGAGATGGGGTTTCACTATGTTGGCCAGGATGGTCTCTATCTCTTGACCTTGTGATCCACCCACCTTCACCTCCCAAAGTGCTGGAATTACAGACGTGAGCCACCTCGCCCTGCTAGGATTAGTTGATTTTTAAATTGATATTTAATTTTTTTTTTGAGAAGGAGTCTTGCTCTGTCGCCCAGGCTGTAGGGCAGTGGCATGATCTTGGCTCATGGCATCCTCTGCCACCTGGGTTCAAGAGATTCTCCTGCCTCAGTCTCCTAAGTAGCTGGAACTACAGGTGGGTGCCACCACGCCCAGATGATATTTTAATATTTTTAGTAGAGATGGGGTTTCACCATGTTAGCCAGGCTGGTAACTCCAGACCTCAGATAATCTGCCTGTCTTGGCTTCCTAAAGTACTGGGATTATACGCATGAGCCACCATGCCTGGCCAAGACTCTTGAGTTTTACTTGTTTTTTACAAATGTATTTGAATGTTTTAGCTACTTATAAACTAAATTATTTATAAGCCTATTAGGTAGTATTTCTATACCTATTATTATTATTATTGTAATCTAAAAGTGTTTCTAATAAGTAGAGCCATAAAACTTATTAAGCCTATCCTTTTATTCACAGCATTGTTCAGAGATACATCTCTGTATAAACATTTATGTGTCCCCTCTCCATTTGCAGCTGTACTATCTTCATCCTTTGTTTTTCAGTTTATTTGCTTTGAAACTGTGCATAGGTGGTAATTGCCATTCTAATCTGTTAGATTCTTTTTTCTTCCAGTGCAAATGAGTGTTTTATAATGATATCCTACTTATCTTCACTTCTCTATTCTTTTTTTAATAAAAAAAATTTTTTTTTGTTTTTTTTTTTTTCTCAGTTTTCACAATCTCTTGTGCTGTATCTCAGCACAGCAGTTCTATTTCCAGGCTCTCTAGTCTGTTCCATTGACCTGTGTGTTTGGCCCTTCACCAGCATGACACTGTCTTGATTACTGTAGTGTTTTATATATTAACTTTGTCTTCTGCAACCTTGCCACAATCTCTTATTAGTTCCAGGAGTTTTATTGTTGATTCTTTTAGATTTTACATGGACAATCATGATTTTCTACATAGACATCTCAAACAAAGATGGTTTTATTTTTGTTTTCCCTCCCATTCAGCATACTTTTTTTTTTTAACAGTTTCTCACTCTGTTGTCCAAGCTGGGCTGCAGTGGCGTGATTGCAACCTCAGCCCCCAGACTCAAGCAATTCTCCCGTCTCAGCCTCTTGCGCTCAAGCAATTCTCCCGTCTCAGCCTCTTGCGCTCAAGCAATTCTCCCACCTCAGTGCCCAGAACTATAGACATGTGCTACCATGCTCAGCTAGCTTTTGTATTTCTGGTAGAGATGAGGTTTTGCCATGTTGCCCAAGCTAGTCTTCAACTCCTGAACTCAAGCAATCTGCCTACCTGGGCCTCCCAAAGTGCTGGGATTACAGATATAAGCCACTGTGCCTAGCCCCAATCAGTATGCCTTTTATTTCCTTTTCTTATTTTATTGCATTAGCTAGTACTTCTAGTATGATGTTCGGAGAGAGTGTAAGAGAATAAGGCAAAGAGGGGACATCTTTGCCTTACTCCTGATCTTAGAAGGAAAACTTCTAGTTTTTCACCATTAAATATGATGTTATCTGTAGACCTGCAGATATATTTTGTAGATATGCTTTATCAAATTGAGATTACCCTCTAGTCCTAATTCTCTGAGAGTTTTATCATGAATGGGCGTTGGAATCAGTCAAATGCTTTTTCTGTGTTTATTGCTACGAACTTGTGATTTTTCTTTTTTAGATTGTTGGTGTCAATGGATACATTAATTGATATTTGAATTTTGCACCAGCCTTGCATACCAGGGATAAATCCTACTTGGTTTTGGTGTATAATTCTTTTATACATTGTTAAATTTAATTTTTTTTTTTTTTTGAGACAAGATCTCACTCTGTCACCTTGGCTGAAGTGTAGCTGTGCAGTCACAGTTTACTGCAGCCTTAACCTCCCCAGGCACAGGTAATCCTTCCACTTCAGCCTCCCAAGTAACTGGAACTACAGCTGTGAGCCACCATGTCCAGTTCATTTTTGTATTTTTGTTTTGTTTTTTGATATGGAGTCCCACTCTGTCACCCAGGCTGGAGTGCAGTGGTGTGATCTCAGCTCACTGCAACCTCCACCTCCTGGGTTCAAATGATTCTCCTGCCTCAGCCTCCTAAGTAGCTGGGATTACAGGCATGCTCCACCGTGCCTTTGTATTTTTAGTAGAGACGGGGTTTCACCATGTTGGTCAGGGTAGTCTTGAACTCCTGACCTCATGATCCGCCTGCCTCGCCCTCCCAAAGTGCTGGTATCACAGGCATGAGCAACCGTCTCTGGCCTAATTTTTGAAACTTTTTTTTGTAAAGATAGGGTTTCACCATTATTTGCCTAGGCTAGTCTCTAACTCCTGAGCTCAAGCAGTCCACCCACCTTGGCCTTCCAAAGTGCTGGGATTACAGGTGTGATCTGTACATTTTTAAAGGCCGTTTGCATCTGTATTCATGAGAAATACTGCTCTGTAGTTTTCTGTGATGTCTTTTGTATGGTTTTGGTATTAGGATAATACCAGCCTCAAAGAATGAGTTTAGAAGCATATCCTTTGTTTCTGTCCTCTGTAAGAGATTATAAAGAACTGGCATGATTTCCTCCTTAAATATTTAATAGAAGTCACTAGTGAAACAATATGCACCTGGTATTTTGTGTTCTGGGAAGTTATTAATTGTTGTTGCTATTTCTTTGTTTTTTTATTTCATTTTTTTTTTGAGATACAGTCTTGCTCTTTCACCCAAGTTGGAGTGCAGTGGCTGATTACTGTAGCCTTGACCTCACAGGCTCAAGTGATCCTCCTGCCTCAGCTTCCTGAATAGCTGGGACTACTGGCCTGTGCTACCATACCTGGATAATTTTAAAAAATAAATATTTTTTTTATAGAGACAGAATCTCATTATGTTGCTGGTCTTGAATTCCTGGGCTCAAGCGATTCTCCTGCCTCAACCTCCAAAAGTGCTAGGATTACAGGCATGAGCCACTGTGCCTGGCCTGTTACCCTGTTAATGTCCATTTGATCTG